TATTTATTTATTTATTTATTTACTTATGAGACAGAGTCTCACTAAGTTGCTCAGGGCCTACTGAGTTTCTGAGGCTGACTTGGAACATGCTGTCCTACTGCCTCAGCTTCCTGAGTTCCTAGGATTATGTGCATATGCCACCACACCCAGCCCCCCAGTCCTCTTTAAAGTTCCTTTTTGTTTGGTTTGGGGGTTTCTTTGTGAGGCATTTTAGAGTCTAAGTAAAAGGTGGACTGGGGATGTAGCTCTTCCCCAGCATATCTGAGGGATGTCTATTACCACACAGCAGAGTCTAGGTGGGCTGCAGGCTCATTGGTGCACTACCTCAGTGACATCATGGGAACAGATTTCCTGCCTCATCCTAAAGCCCTTGTCCAGTAACTGTGGAGTCTGGCTTTTAGGGGTAGATGGCCTGCCAAAGTTGATCACAATGAGGTTACGGTGGTTGCTTTGTGCTCTGTGTTCTGAAAGTGTGTGGGCTGGGTGTGGTGGTACACTCCTATAATCCCGAGGCTGAGGGAGGAGGATCACAAGTACAAGGCCAGCCACAGCAAGTTAGTGAGGTCCTGTCTCAAAAATTAAAAACCCCCCCTGGGTTCAATCTCCCGCCCCCCCCCCCCACAAAAATCAGTGTGTTTGACCCCTTGCAGATCCCCCAAATGCTTATGAGGGTAAGTGTTATAGTTTGGATCTCAAGTGTCCCCAAAAGCTCCTGTGTTGGAGACTGGTCCCAGATGCAGTAAGCAGAGGTGGGGCCTTGGGGAGTGATGGGATCACAAGGACTCTGACCTCAGGACGGATAGCTTTATGGGCTGTGGGGGAGTAGTGGAAATGTTAGGAGGTAGGGCCCAGTTGGAGGAAAAAGGCCACTGCAGCAGGCCCCGGGAGGACATATCTTGCCCCCAGCAGCCACGTGCTACCACAAGCTGCCCATCATGATGGCCTGTCTCACCCCAGGCCCAAAGTGATGGGACCACTCAGCCATGGACTGAACCTCTGAAACCATGAACCAAAACAAATGTTTCCTCCTTTTATTTTTCTCACATATTTTGTCACAGTGACAGAAAGCTGACTCATAATACAGTCCACAAGTTCAAAGTCTTTACATGATGATACTAAGAGGTGTCCTCCCTTCTGCCCTTTCCTAAGTGTCTGTGGGCCTCTCCAGCAGCGGTACTGTGATGAGACCCCACTCGGACCCCTGAGGAATGTGTGCTGTGTTAACATACCTGCTTCGTTGTCACTGGGATAAATGTCCATAGGTACAACCCACAAGACAAACCAGGGGTATTTAAGAACCTGAAGAGGTTCTGAAACCAATAAGCTGTGAGCTGCTGGCTTGGCCTTGCTATGTGCTGGGGAATGGCCCCCGAGACACCACACAGCTCTACACTTTGTCTCATGCAGCAACACAGAATTGACAAAGGAAACCAAGCTCCAATCCAGGGTCAAGACCCAACAAATACGGGACTGGGGCTGCGGCTCAGTGGTGCTCACCTAGTATGTGTGAGGCACTGGGTTTGTTTGATCTTCAGCACCACATAAAAATAAATAAAGGTGTTGTGTCCATCTAAAACTGAAAAAAAATTAAAGACCCAACATTAATTATGCATAATCTGTGTTTAATACTTTTTTATTATTTTGTACTGGGGATTGAATCTAGGGGTGTTCTACCACTGAGCTACATTCCTGGCCCTTTTTTTTTTTTTTTATTCTGAGGATTTCTCTAAATTGCTCAGGCCTGCCTCTAGCTTGCTATCCTCCTTCCTCAGCTTCCCCAAGTCCCTGGGATTAAAGGCAACACCCAGCTCCGAGTTTTACTTTGTAACTTTTAAAGGTATTTGGGAAATAAAAGGATAGATTTCACCACTGGGCCTTGCCTGCATCTTAGCTTTACACAACTGTACAGTCAATTCCAAGCAGTTTCCACTCAGGAAAAGCCCTAGCCTCAGGGGACAGCTGTGTTCCCTTTGCCCAGATGGCCCTAGACAAGTGCTTCAGCATGTGGACATCCTCTGTGGGACTTGTTACATTTTGTCTGTTCTGTTTATGAACTGTAACCTCATATAGGATTGCCTTAGAATCCAAGTAACAAATCCTCATGCTAAATAGAACAACAAGGGTGTTGGGGATGCAGCTCAGTGATAGACTCATTCCCCACCCAGCTCTGCACAGAACAAAAACAGCAAGAACAAACTGCATGCTTTGTGTGAGGCACACCTAAAGCCACCTACAAATCTCATCTTGACCTGACCAGCTCTGCCGCTCCTTCCAGCTGGAGCTGGCCCTGAATTCCAGAAACCAGGACACAGGCTCCTGGCAGGCAGGGAGATCCTAGCCAAGGGCCAACCTGCCAGGGGTTGGCTCGTCCATAGAACAAGGGGGTCTGGAGTAGACCATGGTCCAAACTCCTTCCGAAGTGACCACCTTAAGCAGGAAGCAGTGCCCAAGTCCACTATGCCTCTTTCCTCTTCAATACCTAGCCTGCTGGTCGCCACCCTGTCCACTGTCTCAGCCCAGCCTGCTTGCTCACCCTCACTGTACATGGCAGCTGACCCATTGGGCATACTCAGCTGACCTTGTTGCTTCCTGGGGTTGCAGATAAGAAAAATCAGCCGAGCAACAAAATAAACAGACTCTGGCCTTCCCAACCTCAGGAGAGCCATCTCCTCTTCTCTGCCCCACCTGGTTCAGGCAGAAGCTCCTTCATGCACCCCATAACAGGCCATGCTGGTCTCCCTGGTCCACCAAAAAGATGTATCTAAAACAGAACTTGTGGCTGGGTGTGTGCTGCTGGGATATTTGAAGCAGCTCAGGAGGCTGAGACAGGAAGATCACGAGCTCAAGCCAGCCTCAGCAATGGTGAGGTGCTGAACAACTCAGTGAGACCCCGTCTCTAAATAAAATACAAAATAGGGCTGGGATGTTGCTCAGTGGTTGAGTGCCTCTGAGTTCAATCCCCGGTACCAAAACAAAAAAATAATAATAAAACAAAACAGACCTTGTAATCCCAGCTACTCAGGAGGCTGAGGCAGAAGGATTCCAAGTTTGAGGCCAGCCTCAGCAACTTATGGATACCCTATCTCAAAAAATAAATAAAATTTACAAAAAAACTGGGCTGGCGACATAGCTCAGTGGTTAAGTGCCCGAGGGTTCAATCCTTGGTGCCAAAACATACACACACACACACACACACACACACACATACACACACGGCATTTGAGGGGGGCCAGCAGTCTTTAGGGATATGGTGTTGGAAATTTCCAGTGAACAGGGGACAAGTGTGGGAATGGCAGCGATGCGACTCCCTGGTCTCAAGCTCCTTTCTGGAGGGTAGTAGCTGTCCAAAATTCAGTGGCTTCTTGATTTGTTGAAAACCAATAATGGTCACAGACCATGAGGGTCCAGGAAAAGTCAGCCAGTGACAATCTGTGACCTTGATCAAAGGCCTAAATCTACAGTCCCCCTACTGTTCAGGAAAAGGACAAACTCTGTTCCCAGGTATGAGAAGCTGACTGCTGACCCTGAGCTAGATAGTGAAGGCATGGTCAGTGTGGCCTCAGGCTGCACCCCAGACAGAAGCCACAGAGGGTCCCCTTCAACTAAATACAGCCCTTTCTTGCTTCAAATATCTTTATCATGTAATTTTTTGAACAACTAATAGTAATAAAAATTAAAAAAAAATATATATATATATATCTATCTTTATCACTCCCCTCTCAGGTGCTTCTGGGACCAGAACAGTAGCAAGCCAAATACTTTGAAAACACAGCTGTCCATCAGACACCCTGAGCGGATCCCTTTTTGCCAGTGGATGACCTCCTGGGGTGTTGGAGAACTCCTAGGCATCTGGCCAGTGGTGAATAGACTTGCACAGGCAGATTCCAGTGTGGACAAACCACCAGTGAAAACTGTCGTGACCAGGAAGGCCTGGTCCGGCAAGGAAGCGAGGAAGTATGCCCTCCAGCAACAGCTCTGGCTTTGCCCTGCTCTGGGGCTCAATTTCCTCAGCCCACTGGTCACATCAGTCCTGCAGCTGCACTGCAGCACCTGAAGACAGGTGCTCTCCACACACAGCCCTGAGGAAGAACTTCATGGTGTCCGCTTTTCTGTTCCTGAGCCAATCAACGGGGCAAGAGCAGCGTGGCTAGAAAGGGTCAGGCCTGGGATGCAGTCACAGGATTGGCAGGTGTGAGGAACAGAGGGCTCCTGCTGGGGGGCACTCCTATCACAATCCTGTCAGCAGCCTCCAAGATGGCCCTCAGTGACTCCATCCCTGCTGTCCACACCCTGAGGTAGTACCTCCCACACGGAGCCAGAGCGGGTCTCAGTGACCATGGCACTGTGTGCATGGTGGCAGTAATGGCCAACCACTCCTGAGATTAAATCTCAAAGGGCTGTGTCTTGCATCTGGGGCTCTGACTGCTAGTAATTGGCTTTGGGCAGCCTGCTGCTATGTCATGAGTAGCCCTGAGAAAGCCACATGGCAGGGAACAGAGCCTCGCGTGATAACAGCTAGGCCTCTCACCCTGACCAGCTCCCAACTTCAGAGACCCAGCAAGGTGAGTCTCCAAGTTGTGGGTTTGAGGAGTTCCCCATGGAGAGCACACAGCCCTCGCCTTTGGAAGTCCCTCCTAAGGGCCTGTCAGAAACCCACACCAAGTCTAAAGGAATGTCGAGAACTAGATACCTATTAGCACAAATTCTACTTTTTAAAAATATTTTTAGTTGTAGATGGACACAATACCTTTATTTTATTTATTTATTTTTTAATATGGTGCTAGGATCGAACCCAGTGCTTGCTAGGCAAGCCCTAACCCCAGCCCTTTCTTTTCTTCTTTTTATATCAGGGATTGAATCCAGGGGCTCTTAATCACCAGCCCTTTTTATTTTATTTATTTGTTCATTTTTGTACCGGAGATTGAACTCGGGGGCACTGGATCACTAAGCCACCTCCCCAGCCCTTTCTTATATTTTATTTAGAGACAGGGTCTCACTGAGTTGCTTAGTGCCTTGCTTTTTGCTGAGGCTGGCTTTGAACTTATGATCCTTCTGCCTCAGCCTTCCAGGCCACTGGGATTACGGTGTGCACCACCATGCCCAATCCTTTTTAAATATTGTTTTTTGTTTTGTTTTGAGATAGGGTTTCACCTTACTAATTGCTGAGGCCTCAAACTTGCAGTACTCCTTCCTCAGCCTCCTGATTCCCTGAGATTACAGGTATAGCCACTGTATCTGGCTTCTGCCCAATTTTTTACAAAGGTTTTTTGTTTGTTTGTTTTTGTTTTTCTGAATAGACTTTTTATCTTTTCAAGAACAAAATCTTTTTTTAATATTCATTTTTTAGTTGTAGTTGGACACAATACCTTTATTTTATTTACTTATTATTATGTGGTGCTGAAGATCGAACCCAGGACTGTGGAGCTGGGGTTGTAACTCAGTGGTTGAGTGCTTGTCTCGCATGCATGAGGCACTGGGTTCGATCCACAGCACCACATAAAATAAGTAAAATAAAGATAAAAAAAAGAACAAAATCTGTGTACAAAGTCTTGTTGTACATATGATGAGTAAGACTCAGGTGATAGCTAGGAGGGTCAGGGATGTGGCTCAGGGGCACAGCACTTGTCTAACATGCCAGAGGTCCTGGAAAAGACCCCCAGCACCCCTGCCCCCAAAAAGGGATGTGAGAAGTTGTTTCCTAAGAATCATCTTTCGTTCAGAAACAAGATTTACTGAGGGGTGGGGTTGTGGCTCAGAGTAGAGCGCTTGCCTAGCATGTGTGAGGCACCAGGTTTGACCCTTAGCACTACATAGCCTGCTGCTATTTAGTGTCCACCTATAACTAAAAAATAAATCTTAAAAAAAAAAAAAAAAAGATTTACTGAGATCCACAGACATGAACTTGTTTAGTGAAGCATTCCTCAAGTAGTATTTTACAGACAGCATCCCAATACCAGACCAGCGTTTGGCCACAGACCTCAACCCAGCTTCAACAAGCTGAGCACCCCAGTGTCATGACCACAGGCGCCATGATCACAGCATACAAGATTTTCAGAGGCCAGCTGGGGGAGAGAGCACCAGGCTAAAAAAACAGTTCACAAATTTAGTTGAGGCCACATTAGGGAAGAAGCAAACAGTTATTTGCTCAAATATTAATAAGGAAGCCTATGGGGCTGGAGATATAGCTCAGTTAGTAGAGTGCTTGCCTTGCATGCACAAGGCCCTGGGTTCATTCCCCAGCACCACCAAAAAGAAATAAAGAAAACAAAAAGCTTTTAGTTTAAAAAAAAAATGATAATAAGGAAGCCTAGATATTTTATTTTTTATTTTAGTTATAGTTGGACACATACCTTTATTTTTATTTATTTATTTTTAAATATTTTTTTAGTTGTAGTAGACACAATACCTTCATTTATTTATTGATATGTGGTAAGAGGATCGAACCCAGGGCCTCAAATGTGCCAGGCGAGTGCTCTACCGCTGAGCCACAACCCCAGCCCCATTTTTATTTATTTTTATGTGGTGCTGAGGACCGAACCCAGTTCAATGCTAGGCAAGCACTCTACTGCTGAGCCACTACCCCAGCCCCAAGAAAGGAAGCCTAGATCTTAAAAAGGACCCAAAAGATCAACTTTTTTTTTCAGAATTTTTTTTTTTTGGGGGGGGGTACTGGACATTGAGCCCAGGGGCAATCTACCACTGAGCACATCCCCAACGCTTTTTTTTTTAGTTGTTGATAGACCTTTATTTTATTTATTTATACGTGGTGCTGAGAATCAAACCCAGTGTCTTACACATGCCAGGCCAATGTGCTACCACTGAGCCACAGCCTCAGCCCTCCAACGCTTTTTATTTTTTGAGACAGAATCTTCCTAGGTTGCTGAAACCGGCCTTCAGCTTGTGATTCTCCTGCCTCAGCCTCTGAGCTGCTGGGCTTACAGTTGTGCACCACTGCACCTGACTTTTTTCAAAAATGTTAAAATATTATTCCTGTTTTGTAGATAAGACAATGAGGATCCAGGAGCAGCTTGTCTGAAGCCCTTTGGCTGTTGACAGAATCAGGCCCAGGCCCAGGCCTCCTCCATGTCAACATGGAGCAAGGACAGAGCTGAGTAGGGACCATCACTCTGCTCACGGCTCCTTCCAACAGTCTCAACATACCCTGTGATGCCTTCCCCTTAATGGACTGAACGTCTGGTGCTACCTGGCACCTGGTGCCAGGATAGCCATCCACAGAGCTAAGAAGGCCCTGACTCAGACCATTCCCCAGGAGACTGCCTCTCGCAGATATGCAAGGACAAGACGTGCAAGGAGCCAGGCTGACACTTCCTTGACTGCCACGGTCAGCAAGCCAAGCTGTTAACAAGGAAGCGAGAATGAGTGAACGCGGCGCAAGTGTCTGAGAGAAAATAAAACTCTACCCAGTAGGGCAGCGGGCTGCGGAGTGAGCCTGAGGTTGAAGGACGGTCCAGGCAGCTGGCCTGCTGGATACTCAGACGTAGTCCTGACTACCCAAGGCCTGTGACGTGGTGGGACAGCAGAAATCATCATTCACCTCTCGCCTGCAGGACCTGGGGCACAGCCTCTGGACCAAGAGTTGACAGTCTCTTTCCCAGGCTCTCATTTCTCATGACATCTTCATAATAATTCCTGGATACAAACAGCTTCTGGCTCATGAATGGCTTTCACATACATTTACTGCATTTTATCTTTGCAGCAACTCCGTGGGAAGCCCAAGGCTAATATTAGCCTGTCTTTGCAAATAATTATTATCCCCATTTTACTGATGAGAAAATTGAGGCTGGGAGCATTAACAACTTGCTCAAGGGGCTGGGAAGGACAAAACTCAGGGTCTTTCCCCAGAGGCTGCCAACACCTTGCTTCTGAGTGAACCACCAGGCAGTGGCCCAACAGCAGTGGCTTTATTTCAAACATTAATAGGCCTGTTTCTTACACTCACACCACAACATGCAAATTCATTAGAGGCTTTGAGTCACAAACCCTCTAAACACACAGGCAAGAAGGGCTAGGGTACCGGAAAATCTTTGGAAGTCTGAATACAGTAACAAGACAAGGCTGGGGAGAGTGCAGGGGGACAGACTAGGGGGAGGGAAAGTGGGGGAGGAAAAACCCTCTGACTTGGTCTGTGAACCAAGGAAAGGACACAAAGTGCATGAGGAATAGGGAAGATGGATGGATCGGGGAGATTATAAGAATAAGAGAGGGGCTGGGGATGTGGCTCAAGCGGTAGTGTGCTCGCCTGGCAAGCGTGCGGCCCGGGTTCGATCCTCAGCACCACATACAAAAAAACAAAGATGTTGTGTCCGCCGAAAACTAGAAATAAATAAATATTTTAAAAATTCTCTCTCTTTAAAAAAAAAAAAAAATAAGAGAAATGGCAGGAAGAGCCATCAGTACTGACTCAGCAGCCCTGGGCCTAGGGACTACTCTCTGCACAAGCCCACAGAATGAGCCACACACACGGGGAGAACTGGCTGGTGCAGAGCTTAATGCAGGCAGGCAGGACACCTAAGACTCACCCAGGCCTTTCAGGTTCAGGTGAGGCACAGGGCAGGTGTGTGTGGCCCTGGTTCGCCAGGCCCAATAGTGAGTGCAGGCCCATGCAGTCAGACCACCTTAGAAGCTGCCACCAACTTTAACTGTGATCTTGGGTGTGGTATCTTTTAATTTTTCTGAATCACTTTCATTATAAAATAGTGATATCAGAAGTATTTACTGAGTTGTGAATATCAACACAGTGTTTGATGTGGAGCCAGACACTAGTCAGCACTCCCAAATATTGGTTGTTATTATAATTGTTCATTATAAACCTGGGAAACAGAAATACAGAGATAAGTGTAAGTCACTGTGACCCTTCTCTGTAGCAGATCCGTCTGCTCTTGGGCACTCACTCTGGACCTGGGTAGACCCCATACCCAGTGGCCCTCGCGGCTGCACTAGGAGGATGGCAGGGACTTGCCTGGGCTAGGAATGCAGCTGCCATGGGATGAGACAACAGATCCCTCTCCCCACTGGGGAGCAGTGCCTCCGCATTTCCCATGAGCAACAGTGGGCTTATGCAATGCCTGGGCCATAAGCCTGGCAGGGTGCCATGTGACTTCCAGAGGTGAGTCAGCTGCCTCCAGCAGGGTGCAGCTGAGCTGGTCCAAGATGGCTATCCACACGAAACCAAAGGTCTGCAGAACAGATACTCCACTCCTGACCAAACTATGGAGTGGTTAATACTCTTCTTTCTAAAAGTTGTTAATCTGCTCTTCCTGCTACAGATGGAAGTTTTTGTTTCTGGGCTTCCAAGATTGAAGGAAAACAACTGTTCCCTTCCTGTGCACACTGACCCTTGGCAGCTTGAGCTCGTGTTCCTCAGCCTTCCTCTGGCCAGTGAACGACTAACCTGCCCTTGATCGGCAACTTGTGGCTTTGGAAGGCCTCCTTCCTTCTTTTCTGAGATAGGGGATGCAGATCTGGGTGGAGTTTTACTCAAACACAGGCTGGGCCACGCGTGGGTGGTGCAGACTGGGATCTCAGCCACCCGGAGGATTATGAGTTCGAGGTTAACCTCAGAAAGTCAGCGAGACCCTGTGTCAAAAAATCAAAAAGGTGCTGGGGGTGTAAAGTAAAGCACCCCGGTCCAATCCCCAGTACCAAAAAAAAAAAAAAGGCGCTGCAATATAAACGCCCGGAGATGGCTTCCCGCTGGAGGGCGCGGCGTCAAGTCCCCCAGGCCGCACACCCTGCGGAGTGTCCGGCACGGGAGTGTCCGGCGGGTCGACGTCGCCGGGCTCATGGCTGGACTCAAGGCGCTTAGTAAATCGTAGGGCCTCCAGAATTGGGATGCTCACGGGTCGCCGGCGAAGACCAGAAGGCCACAAACGCGCAGGCGCCCGAAGGTTGCAGTTCCAGACCTCTACAGGAACGTGAAAGCGTCGCGAAGATTCACCCCTATTTCCCCCCCCCCCCCCCCCCCCCAACCCCCACGCGGCCCCCCAACCCCCCCCCCCCCCCCCCCCCCCCCCCCCGCTGCAGACCGCGCAGGCGCCCCGAGGACTTACCTCCACCCCGCGCCACCGCCCCGACGCGCAGGCGCCTTGAGGACTTACGCCGCCCCGCCCCGAACGCGCAGGCGCCCCCGAGGTGCACCACTGCGCAGGCGCGGCCCCGGGACCATGGCGGCCGCGTTGCTGCTCCTGCGCGCCCTCCGCCGAGGACCCTGGCCGGGTCCGGAGCGGCTGTGGGGCCCGGGCCTCCTCGCCGGGGCTGGGAGCAGGCGGCCGTACGTGGTCCGCAGGCCCCCGGTGGGTGTCGCCGAAGCCGGCGGCCGGGCCCTGCAGGTAACCCCGCCGCAGCTGCCCGGGCCCCTGGTGGGGTCCATCCTTTTGCCCGCCTCCTTGGCCCGGCCCGGGGCTCGCCATTTCCGGCGCGGCTGGCGCCCCCCGGGCCAGGGGGGCGTGTTGGCGTGGCCGCGGGCTCGTTACTGACGGAACGCCCCGCCCCGCCCCGCGGGAGAGCCCGCGCCGCGAGCCGCGCCGAGCGCGCCCGTCCGGGCTGCAGACCTCGCGGGGACGCGCCTTTGATCTTTCTGGAAAGACAGGCGGGCTCACGGCTTGCTGTGCCGTGCTCTCACGTCTGTGTTTATTTTTCAGAGTTTGCAATTGCGAACGCTAACCCCAACCTTTGAAGGGATCAGGGGATTGTTACTGAAACAGCATCTACTTCAAAATCCATTCAGACTCTGGCAACTTTTAGGTGTGTATCTATTGAAACTTAAGTGACAGTGACGGGGCAGAGGTAGTGGCATTTGTGAATATACTGTCTTGCTTCCATCAGTTGATGAACCACGTGGAGAAGAGTGGATCCTGCTACCTCCCCTTGCAGGGTTGCAGCCTAGGAGCCGTAGCCTGGGCGTGTAGCAGGTGCTGCCATCTAGGACAGAGTCGCTTAAGGAAGCACCTCTCTCCCAATATGTCCTCGCAGTCAGAGTGACATATCCCTGGTTAGGATAATGGTACCAGCTTGACATTGACAAGAAAATGGGAATAATCACAAGAGGACCTTTGTCCTCTATTTATTATGAGTCCTGTGAGAGCCACAGTCTAGATAATTGGAAATGGAAGTTTTCAAAAGGGGAGTTTTGTCGAAGGCCCAAAAAGATGATTTTGTTTTGAGGTTTTTGGCACTGGCAATTGAACCCAGGGGCACTCAACCACTGAACCACATCCCCAGCTTGTTTTTTATCTATTTTTTTAAATATTTTTAGTTAAAGATGAACACAATACCTTTATTTTTTTAATATGATGCTGAGGATCGAACCCACTACCCCACATGTGTGAGGCAAGCATTCGACCACTGAGCTACAACCCCAACCCCATTTTTTTATTTTTTATTTTATGACATGGTCTTGCCAGGTTGTGTAGGGCCTCACTAAGTTGCTGAGTGGCTTTAAATTTTGATCCTCCGACTTCAGCCTCCTAAGCCACTGGGATTATAGGCCTGTGCCAAAATGCCACCCCCTTTTCTTTTTTTCTTTGAGAAAAGGCCTCACTAAATTATTGAAGCTGGCTTTGAACTCCTGACCCTCCTGCCTCAGCCTCTTGAGCCACTGGCTTTATGGGCATGCACCACCACGCCCGGCTGTAGTTGGCTTTCTTTTTCTTTTTTTTTTTCATTGCAAATGGTCACAATACCTTGATTTAATTTATTGATTTTTACGTGATGCTGAGGATCAAACTGAGGGTTTCACATACGCGGGGCGAGCACTCTACCACTGAGCCCCAGCCCGTAGTAGGCTTTCTTGGAAAAGGTTTTTATTATTATCTAGTTAGCTCCCAGAACATTGTAGTAAGTATCTATAAAATGGCTCCAAATGTTTTATATCCAGAGGGTAATTAAAAATACCCTACAACCAGCTGGGCATAGTGGCGCACGCCTGTAATTCAGCGGCTCTGGAGGCTGAGGCAGAAGGATCACGAGTTCAAAGCCAGCCTCAGCAACTTAGTGAGGCCCTAAGCAACTCAGCGAGACCCTGTTCCTAAATAAAATATAAAAAAGGGCTGGGGATATGGCTCAGTGGTTAAGCACCTCTGGGTTCAATCCCCAGTACCAAAAAAAAAGTACCCTACAAATAATTTGCTTGTTGTTGGAGTGCACCATTGAGTGAAACACTGTGACATTCTGCAGCCTCTTTGAACTTAGGTTCAAGGACCTGGAGGATTGAGGCCATAATTTCACTCCTTCTCACCCAGCTGAAATGGGGAAAGTGAACTAGGTAAACTAATGTGGTCAGAAAGTGCTGTGCCTACCGATTAGTTGTGCCTCAGCATGTCACTTATGTGTTTCAGTGCCTCATTTGTGCCCAGTGGTGCTTAGACAGGAGGCCCAGACCCCAGCCCTCCAGAACTCCTGTCCTTGGCTTCACATGACAGTCAAGGTGGTCTGCTTGGCATTCTATTAAAGTTTGTGAAAAATGTTGCAGTTGAAGTCATGGTTGTGATAATTCCCCATTTATTCGGAATTGGGATAAGACCAGAGGTTTGGCCGATCAGTCTGGGACAGTGGTTGCTGCTTTTGTCACATGTGCCAAAGCCACTTATGTTGTTCCTTTGTTTAGTTCTGTTTATAGCAATGTAAGTGATTGTTCTCCAACAAAATATAACGTTTTTTCCAATTTATGTTCCAGACATGTTTTTTTCAGTGCTAGTGATAGAACCCAAGGCTTGCAAGTGCTAAGCTCTACCACTGAGCTATTCTCCCTTTTATTTCCTCATGTTAACAAATTTAAGTAGCAGAGGTATTTGACTTCATATGTTGAAATAGTTTGTTATTTTCTAATTAGCCGATACAGTACTGAGAATGATGAAAGGGAATATTTCATCTCAGACTTACAACTTTTTTAACCTTTATTTTATTTATATATATTTATGTGGTGCTGAGGATTGAACCCAGTGCCTCACACATGCTAAGCAAGTGCTCCACCACTGAGCTACGACCCCCGCCCCAGACTTACAACTCTTGTGGACGCAAGTTTCAGGTGGTTTTTGTTGTGATTTGGTTATTTGAGAATGTTTTGTTCTCTTGTGTATCTCCCCTGTAGTTGGAAATCTTGGTCAGGTTCTTTCCCTATTGCTTGTAGGTGGTACTTACTATTTCAACACCTCAACGATGAAGCAGAAAAATAACGACAATGATAAATCCAAGAGGAAGGCCCCTGAAGATGACGAAGGTATGCATGTCTGGTGTTCTGACACAGTGGCTCCATCTGCTTGTCCTCACGTGTGCTCGCCGCTCGGCAAGGTAAAGCCTGTGTGGTACAGCGAGGGGAGCCTGGGGACTGTGGGTGCTGCCCTTGTGCCCCCGCCCCCACCTCTGTCTGACTGCTGGGTCCTTTGTGCATGTTGTGTGGAGATGTTTCCATGGACACCTGTGCCTCTGCACAAAAAGTGTGAGTCTCAAATCTACCCCAGGAGTACCAGAGTGCCTTGGCTGAAATAGCCCTAACCACCTGTTCAGTGTTGCCACGGTCCCTGGGCTTGGGAAACAGTGAGGAGGAAAGGACAGTTGAGTAGGACAGACGGAGTCCAATATAAGAGTTACCTTTGTGTACCAGTCAGTCTGCCCCACTCTAGACCACAGCTGACTCACTGCTCACTTGCAGAATCTAAGGGTATGCTGCGTGTCTTGGTCTCACCTTTCCTCTAGACTAGGGCTCCTTCAACAGTGTGAGGGGTGAAGGAAATAAAATAGTAAGTTTGACTTAGTTTCTGAGACCTCTATCTAAGATAAAGCTGGGTTTTTGCTTTTAGCCATTTGGCACTAATAATAATGATGGAAATTGTCACTCCTTAGAAATTATTGGTGTGTGCTTCACACTGTGGTGAATGATTTACATACTTTATTTTTAAATGGACACAATTCCTTAGCTGGGGCTGGGGCTCAGCAGTAGAGCACTTGCCTCACAAGTGTGAGGCACTGGGTTCGATCCTCAGCACCACATAAAAATAAATAAATAAAAATAAAGATATTGTGTCCATCTACAACTAAAAAAATTTTTTTAATGGACACAATACCTTTATTTTATTTTTATTTTTATGTGGTGCTGAGGATTAAACC